TCTTATTTGCGGACAGTCGAGATGATATACAGCAGCTGGCGAATATATGCGGAAGGGAAGGTGAAGCTCTTGGACTAGGATTCAGTGTAACGAAGTGTGGATTGATGGTATACAATGATCCCTGTGATCAGACGGTGTCCATACAAGGCCAAGAAATACCGAGGGTAAGTGAATACAAGTACCTTGGAGTATGGGTAAATGAGAGTGATAGATACATGGAGGTACAGGAAAAAGCCTCGGCAGCAAAAGGAAAGAGGAATGCGGCAATAATGAAGCACAGAGCGTTGTGGGGATACAATAGGTATGAGGTGCTTCGAGGTCTGTGGAAGGGTGTAATGGTTCCAGGGCTTACTTTTGGGAACTCAGTGGTGTGCATGAGGGCAGAGGTAAATGTGTGCATGAGGGCAAATGTGTGCATGGTGTGCATGAGGGCAGGGGAATGGATGTAAATCAAAGGACTGTGGGACGCCTCGCGTTGGGTGCTCACGGGAAGACGACAAACGAGGCTGTAAAGGGCGATATGGGGTGGGCAGGTTTTGAGGCGAGGGAAGCGCAGAGCAAAATAAGGTTCGAAGAAAGGCTAAGAAATATGAAGGAGAGTAGATGGGCAGAGAAGGTGTTCCGTTATTTGTATAGGAAGAGCGTGGACACACAGTGGAGAAAAAGAACTAGAAGACTCACTAGTAAATATACGGCTGGTATTGTAAGCCATATGTCAACAAAGAGCGTTAAGGGAAAAGTCAGGGAGGCGGAGAGGATTTACTGGATGGCAGCTATGGAGAAAAAACCGGCTTTGAGTAACTACCGAAAGGGCAAAAATGAAATAAGGAGGGAGGCATTTTACGATAATTCAAGGGGAAGCGCTTTACTGTTTGAAGCGAGATCGGGTTGCCTTAGAACGCGTAGTTATAAGGCAAGATTCAGTAAAGAAGAAGAACAATGCACATGCTGCGGGAAAGATAAGGAAACGGCGGAGCATGTTCTGGTTGAATGTGGAGATATCCACCCAGGTGTACGTTTGGGCACGAGCCTACAGGAAGCCTTGGGTTTTAGAGACAACAATGGAAAGCTGAACACACCCGCGATTGAAATAAGTAAGAGACGGTTAGAGTATTGGTGGCAGAAAATTAGAGAGAAAGGACAAAAATAAATATTGGAAAAATAAAATATGGACAGTGTGCCGTAAATGGCAGAGAACTTAAGCTGAAAATTTACCTTTTTTTCCATTAAGATAGAATTTATCGAAGTAGAGGCATTAGGCCAACATAAAAAAAAGAAAAAAGGTGTTTTTTTTTTTTTTGTCGAGCCTGGTGGCATACTTGTCACCACCCCGTTATAAAGGGGACGCTCATAGCATCCATCCATCCATCCAGCCCGAAGACAGGAGACCGGGAGGTTAGTAAAAATAGAAGGAGATCCGTTTATTTGGCGGACTTGCGCCCACCAAAAGAAAGCAGACGCGCCGGCTTAGCGGGTGGCGAACAGCGCGTTCGACGGCCGTCGGGGAACAGAATGTCTCACTGGAACGCAAGGCGCGTTCACCATCCGAGATACAGTCGCCGTAACGTCTGGCGCTACGGCGACTTCTCGCGGCAATATCAATCACCTCGTCGTCAAAATACCACGCGAAGCAATCTACTGCACGCGTCACCGCCTTTTTCGTGAACACGGGGTCCCACGATTTCGGACTCTCGAAAGAAATGTTTGGTTTATTTTCATTTCATTCTTCATTCTTCACTGATATCTTCTTCAACAGCAGCTGCTTCGAGATCAGTTTCTATTACTTCCTGGTTGGCTCTTTTTCTGCTTTTTGAAGTTTTTTGTTGATGTTTTTTCCGTTTCCCTTTCGATGGCCCAGGTTTATCTTCGTCGCCATTGAGACTCGAGTCTGGTGGCGCGAGCTCTGGCACGAATTCAGCTTCACTACTTTCTGCCTCATCCCCACTTGTTTCAGATTCGTCTGGCAAGCTGAAGAATAGCTCGAGTGCCCCTTCATGTGAAAGGGAGTCCGCTGAAATTAATAAATCGAGAAATATGTCTGAACAAAAAAGTTAGTGCCAGTTAGGCCTAGCGAAACGCCCATAAAATTTGGAAGTATGCTGGGACTGACCAGTATATCTAGCCTCCAAACACTCCGATTTGCAAAATATTGGCACCGAAGCGTACGAAAAACACCTGCCGAGAAGGGAAAAAAAGGAAAATCTTAACATTTATCCTTAACCGTTGTAAATCCAGTCCTATGGGAGCGAAAATACTGAACTCCACAATGAAAACAAGACAAATTTCAAATCATCGGATCCACAACACCACCTGTGTAACCGCATAGAAACTGCCGCAAAAAACATTATGAGTGGCCGATAATCTATGGCAGCACATTGCTTTGGCTCCAAGTTCGTCTAGTTTTAACAGCGACAGTGTTTTTGTCAGAGCAAAAAGTGGGACGTTTTTATCCCATTATACCTCAAAGTGTTATAGAAAAGAGAGTGCAGAAGGCTCTTAAGCACATTTTTATGCGATTATAATATGGAAGGGATGGTGTTCCCTAGTTGTTTCGAGGCAATGCAGAGACTAAATTGTAGTTATTTACGCGATTTGGTGAAACCGGTGTGGCGTCACAACACTTTACACACAAAGGGAAATGACTCTTCTTGCTACACCTGTCACATCAACTTCTGTGGAGGCCCAAATGGGTGGGCAAGGATGTGCTCTCTTCGAATTTGGAATTGCTAATCTGCCCTGTAGATGCTAGTGTATAACAACATCTGAAATTTCGGATGCTGAAAATCTTTGCCCAATTTTTTCGGACGTTCTGGTCTGGAATGGCAATAATTAAAGCACCCTTCTCTGCCGCATAGGTTTTAACCAGCGCTTTCGATAGTCAATTTGTTTACTACGATTGTTGTGGGGCCCTAAAGGCAGCTTTGCCGCAATATCAGAGTGGGCTGACATGAAGCATATTATAAATATGAAGGGGCATTTGTAGCAGTCTAATGCATCTTCATGTTTGAACCAGCCTTTTCTTGAGTCGTTCTTCATAGTGTCACTAACAAGATCCTGGAGAAGAACCCCTCTTCACTAGATCCCAGGGCAATGTTGTCGAAGCCGGCTGAGTGCATTGAAGGCTTGAAAAAATAGTTCTGGATGCACTCATTCTTGCAGAGAGAATGAATGAGCATTCAAGGGACATTGTGCTTGCTCAGTTCATTGAGCTGTTACAGGAGCACAAGCATGAATTGCAGATTTCTGAAAAGAGTTCACATGCACTTGATAAGTTCTTCTACGACCGTCTGAAGGTTGGCTCTGCATGTTATGGGCTTTGGAGTGCTGTAAACTGCTGCTAACTCTCAGTCACGGCCAAGCAAGCGTAGAGAGAGGATTCAGTGTGAATCGCCAGGTTTCGACCGAAAACGTGAAAGAATTGTCGCACATTTCATAGCGCATTATTTGTGATGCTGTAAATGTAGCAGATGGCATATGTAATGTGCCCATCACAAAAAATTTAAGAACATCAGTGGCTTCGGCGAGAAGCCAATACTGTGCATTTTTTGAAAAGACAGGAGCAGGAGGATGAGAAATTTAAAAAGAAACGTTGCATTGAGGAGGAGGTCGAAATGCTTGCAAAAAAAGAAAAAGAAACTGGAAGCTGCTATTGAGGCTTTAACAGCTACGGCAGACTCATAACGCAGAAAAGGCAGAGGCATCTAGCGACATGACATACATCATAAAGTCAAACAGCCTTAGGAAAACCGCCAAGACAAAGCAGCAAGAAATATTGGACGTTGACGTGAAAGTTCAGGAAAGGCGACGAGGCATTGCATGATAATTGTTCCTTATACTTTCATATCTGAATAAAAGTTCGAATTCTGTGTTATACTGAAAGTGATTACCCATGCAACTTTAAGAGACTATGATTGAGAGCTGTCAATAATGAAAACGTCAGTGGAGCCATGTTTCCAATACCTGCTCCGGCAAGGTTACCATTTTTAGATTAATTTTACTAATTATATCAAGCCTCCAGCCTTCTCTGACCATGAAATGGGTCTTTAAAAATTTTCACGCATAGCCTTGAGTCTTTGAAAACTCTTGAATTTTTGTCATGGAAACGAGCATGAAGCCTGTTTAAGCCGGAAAAAATGGGACAAGGCACTTTGTCATTTGTCTTTTCTTGTGTTTAAATTTTTTGCGAGCCTTAAAGGGGTACTGACTCGAAATTTCATGGCCGCGGGATTGATTCCTGTGAACATTCGTATATCCTCTGCAACATATCATCAGCGAATACCCAGTTTGGATGGTATTTTGAAATAATTTCAAAGTTTGCATGACTGATTGACTCTTTTGCGCTATTCATACCCTCAAAAGCGACCCTTGGTGTCCACCCTACTTCCTTCACGTGACCACGAGCAACAAGTTATGATGACATCATAGCTCCCATTTTTCTTTTACTGTGTTTGCACAAGGTGGTGACAGTTGCACTAGGCAGCTTGTCGTTTTTTGGAGCTCTCTCAAACTGAAACATAGATGGGTCAATAACAGGGACCCTACACGCAATTGTCTGTTGCACAATGCAGCAAACAATGTGCCATGTAATGACCAACAGGCCTCCAGCAACATATTGCAGTGATAAAATGTGAGATCGAAATTTTCCCGTCAGTACCACTTAACATTAATTATGAATGTAGACCAACTCGCCCCACAAAACGTTCTCTTAGGCTGGGGATCTTGCTATGTGGAAAATTGATGCATAGGATCAAAGCACTTTTCATTCTTTATTCCTTATTCATGAAATACCCCATAGCACGTGAGGGCGTTATAGCGGTGGGGGGGGGGGGGGGGCAGGGGTTACATCAATCAATGACATACATCATCATACGCACACAAAATACATCAATAACTGAAATATACCTTTGTCCACACACATAATACAGTTATCTTCTATTTTCACACATAAATACATCTTCGTTCAGCTTACATTGAAGCATTTTTTTTTAAACAAATTTCAGGTGAGCCTAATCATGAAGAGCGGGCAACACAGGGTGGCCAACTTGCGAGACATTGACACTGATCCGGAGACGCTGTTGATTCGTAGCACATCTGACCAGTTTGACTTCAAGGCTACTGTAGATGGCACCCGAGTGGTGGAAGGACAGCTGCGTTATCACCCCTTTCTTTACGATCATGAGAGCTATCCATCAGAGCACAGTGACCACAGAGGTAAGTAAGAGCAAGCACTCCGAGTTTGTTCTCTTTGTTGAATACCTCTTGGGTTTGTTAATCCATGTATGGAGCGTGCGCAGCTCCAGTAACTTCATTTTCAGCTTGCATTGATGCAATAAGTTGCCATAGTATATGCTTGTGCTCATATTCGAGCACTTCAAATATTCAAAGGAATATTCACTTCAGTTCGAATAATATTGTTGAAGTTTCGAAGTACTCGAAATGCACAAATGGATGTATATTAGTCCGAATGCAACCCTCCTTTCTCCTGTAAAGGCGGTTTTGCTGTAGGGTAGGTGTGCTGTATCGTAAATATGTGTATCCAGTGGAAATCTGCACTACTTCGAAGCCCCATATCAATGTTAAATGAAAATGTAATGTTACCCTCACCTTGATTTATCATTCTTTAAGTACGAAAATTTACCGTATTTACTCGCATAAATTGCACACTCCCATAATTTGCGCACCTGTAATATTTAGCCAGTTTATACAAAATATATATAGAGTCAAGCCCACATATAACAGCTCCACTTAAAAAACTTTTGCTCAAGAAGAGACACTGGCCTTAAAAGTGAAATCTTTATTACTAGAGATATCTTAATTAAATTATGTGTGTATATGTGTTTCTATCTCCTGTTCTTGAAAATGTAATTAGTTTTATTGTATCTCAATTAGTTCTTAGATTGGGAATTGAAAAGTAAGTAAAATCTAATTAGGTCATTTCTTATGGGTGAAAAAGACTCCTTCCATTCATATTTTCTGGTCCAGTTTAAGAAGCAGCTGTAGTCAAAGAGCCGCCATGTGGAGCTATGCTATATATATGGATGCTGATACACATAATGCCGTGAAAATTTTCAGTTGTGTTAATGCTTCATAATAATGATGTGCAATTCACTCATATTATAGTTCACAAAATTTTTTATGTTCAATTACCCATAAAAAAAATAGTATCGCTCCACAGTGATTTCTTAAGAGTTCAACAGTATAACATGATTAAATTGGCTCACAGAAACACAACGAGAAGTTCCGTAAGGCTAGTCAGGCTGGCAAAAAGTGTGAAGCTGAGAAAATTCAAGGAATCTTCAACAAGCAATTTCACTTAAATGTTCCCTGTCTGTCTCTCTGCTAAACAAAACAGAAAGTGTCTAATTCTAGCCAATAGATCATTAAAAAAATTTTTTTATGTGGAAAGCAAGATCCTAGCCTCATCATAGTAAGTGGTTGAGTGGAGGGTCCTGAAAAGAACATGGGATATGAGACTAAAGTCACTTGTTCCTCTTAAATTTTTTATCAATTAACTATCTAAATGCTCTATTTTATCTTTTTATCAATTAACTATCTAAATGCTCATTAATAATTAACCAAATGAACGTTAGGCAGTCTGCTGCCCTGTGTAACCGGTCATATTGTTGAGACCTTCTTTGTGATTAATCTCCTGCCTGTTCTATTATGAATACCAACCATATACCCCAACTCTTCCTTTTGCTGTAGGTCGCTATGAGCCGAGTGTCGCTGATGCTCAGCCACTTGCAGATGTAGCCTCTCGAGACAGCGCAGGGTTTGCAGGCAACTGCATAGATTTCACATTTCTGTGAAAGGCGCGGTGAAACCAAAAAGACAGGCGCTTTTGTGAATTCGCGGTGAAACCAAGTGGGCCCACCTTCACCCTTCGCTGAAATGACTTCGTATGCGGAGGGTGAGATGCGCTCTTTGTTCCGCAGCTCACGTGATTGTTTTGCACACGGAGAGGATTGTAAACGTAAAAATGCCTAATAGGCACCAACTCCACCAAACTCTCATCTTGACGGTGCACTACGGTGCACTTCTAGCAGGCACCTTTTTGTTCTAAGCCCGCTTTTTACCGCTTCCAAAATTTCGTTGCGAGGACGGTTTCAGACGAGTCTCCAGGCATCTCGATCTTGTGGAAAAACTACCGGCGCAAAACACGAACACGGTGCATTGAGAAACGTGCACGAGCGCAAAAGCAGACACACGATTGGACAGCAACAACGGCGAACTTGCAAAAATAAAAAAACGCGTTGGTCTCGCCAGCCAATGTAAAGCATGGAACAGTGCTATTGAAAAGCGCACTGGCTCCCTCAGCCAATGAAAGACTCGGTACGGCGCACTTGAAATGCGCGCTGAGTGAGAGCCAATCAGCAAGGCGGAAACGGCCTTTCGAAAACCCGCGACGGCGGCCATTTTGCTTAGGCATGATGGTGCCAATTATGCACAAAGGAAACGCCTTCAAATCTAGCTTAAGGAAAGACGCTCCTCGAAAAAGTTTTTTTTTATTTCTAGTAATCGAGACTTGAAAAGTTTGTTATTAGTATAGTTTTTCATGCAGACTTCAAATATGCAATCATTTTTTGTGTAGCTGCTATAATTATTGAGTTATGCCATAAACAATAGCAAAAAGTTACATTTTTTGCGGGCACTCTTTTATGGACTAAACTTTCAGTAAAAGCACTGTGTCTGATCTTATTTGACTCTTGGTAGATTGAAAAGTGCAAATATCTGTATAGATATGTCACAGAAATATTGGAACAAAGAAAAAAAAATTGTATTGAGTGACTTATTGTTTTCAATCTCCCTTGAAACAATAAGCTAATATTTTCACAACTAATGCTGGTAGGCATTGCAATTTAGAGTAGATATTTGCATTCTGCATGTGTTGAAGAATATGTGTGCCAAGTTTCGTTACTATACAGTGAATATAAGTTTCTAAAAGGCTGCCCGGAAAACGTGAAACTGTCAGAAAAAATGAAAATGAGAAAAACAAGTTTGAAAGTTCACAAAGTTGGCATTTATTAGGAAATCATTCTTTTTGCATCAAATTGGGGCACAATGAAAAGTACCTTGCCTTGAATGCACTGCAAGTGTCTAGAAGTCCCCTTCACCATAGCTTGGTCCTTCACGGCTCTTGTGGTCAGTGTCCTCAACACGAGCTCTCTTCGCTGTGTTGCGATGGTGTGCCCTCGCTTCTGCAGTTTGCTTCGGGTTCATCTTCCTGATGCGCATGACGTCACAGTGGTCACCATGTGTGGCCAGATCTTGTGAGAGGAGAATTCCAATGCCTTCGAGCACTTCTTCAAAGCCCCTGTGGCCTTTGTTGTACCAGAGTACAGCAAGAGCGGTGGCTGTCTCCACAGTTGTTCTGGAGGCGAACTTTGTTTTTGGACATAGCAGCCTTATCTTGCTGTTCAGCGATTCGGCTGCATTCTGTGTCTTGCCATGAAGGCACCGAATAAGGAGTTTCTCCTCTGTAAGGCGCTTGTAGATAGGCATAATTGCCAATCCTTGAGCCTTCGTCAACAGTGGGGTGTGGCGTGGTGCAGGCTCCCCCAGTGCTTCCACACGCTTGTGCTTGCACCACGAATTTGGTCTCGCGGGGCAAAAGTTGTGGCTACTGGCACCATCACTGGAGCAGCAATGAAAATACGATGCCCATATGGCAGTGTACATATTTCGGACACTGTCCTTGTTGCTCGTGATGGCGATCTTGTAATATGTTTGTAGTTTTATTATTTTGTCGCATCTTTCAGTTTTTCGCCTCGTGGCAGTGGCGTTGCCAATTTCCGTAGGGCAGTTCCCAAGCGCTTTACAACGTGGTTCGTGCACTCTTCTTTGTCAATGGGGGTGTCACAGTATACATTTGCCTCGCAGACTGCAGTGTAGGCCTTGCTGTCACCATCACTTAGGAAGCTGGTGAATCGCAGTGGAGTTTCATAAGACAAGGTCCTCTGCCATATATTGACAGCTGCCGCAGGTTCCATTGCATGGGATGAGCAGTCAGTGTTTTTTTGGCAAACTGGAAGATGAAAAGCTCGCCATATCTCTTCATCCTCCCCAAGGTCCCTGTGTATACTGCAAGCATGGCAGTAGTTCGAAAGAACTTCAATATCGAGGCAGAGCCCCGTGTCCAGAGACACGACTGTGCCCACTCCATTGTGGCTTTTATGACCTCTTTTCTGCCAGGTGCCATCAAACATGACTGGCACATCTCTGCCGCCGACTGCGTCCTTCGTGATGTTTCGTGCCTGGTGCAAGTTTTTGCTCACTGCTGTCATCGCCGCACCATGGAGCTTCTTGCAAATGCCGTTGAATTTCTTGTGATGCATCGGGCTCGGAAGACCGAGAATCGCACAAAATCGTGAAAGTTGGTCGTGGCCTGCGCCTATAGCGCGTGCTGCCAGAACAGCCTTCACGTTTACAGCAAAGCTGTCACGCGAGCTGCCGCTGTCAAAACGGGCGCTCGTTCCTTGGTCCCCGGCCGCAGCAGTACGTCTCGGCGTGTGCGTGAACGAAAGTGCAGATTCAGGGCAATCAGAATTTTGACAGCACAGTTCGAGGAATGCCGAAAGTCCTTTGCGCTTTCCAGCTGCCTCTCGCACGCCGAGCTTCCGTTCGCGGCAGGTTGGGCATTGCGCACCCGCCACAAGTGCCGTCAGCGCATCGATTTCGCAAAGCAGCATGTTCGCAGTAGCAGCATCTACCGGTCTACGTTCACTCTCCAAGAATCCAATCTTCCTTTGGGATGCACTGACGAATTCCACGGCAGCGGCTATTTCACAACCACTGTCGCAGGGTTCGGTGACGGTGTTAGGCCTATCCGAAGTCGGAGCGTCGGGGCGTTGGTCGGGGGCGACATCGTCGTTTGCTGTCGCTTTGCGAAGCGTCCGACGCCGTTTCCCTTCGATACTTGTGGCGAGTTCTGAACTTTCGATTGTCTGAACTGCACTTCTTCGGGCTTGCCATGACGCAAAAATGCAGAGAAACGCAGAAAAACTCGATCGCGACGTCCGAGGCTTCGCTCTTTTGCCGGAGAGATAGGAGGGGGAGGAGCGTGGAGCGCACCGCCGTCCAATGGCGGCCTCGCGCTGTGTGCCGCGATATTCAAAACGCCTGACGTACGCGTTGTTTTTCTCGTTTTTTGTTTATTCTGCGTGAAGGCACGAGACTGGCTACTAGTGGATTATGAAGGATACGGCCTTCGCAGCATGCGTGCACGATTGCAAATGGCGGCCAACGCGTCGTTTTCGCGACAGGACGACGCGAACTTCGCCGTTTTTCGCGACTTTCGCGCATTTCTCGCGTCACCGCTGCCCACTTGGAAGCATTTTTTGATAATTTCTCGTGCGAATTTCAGCTTGATATTTTCAGAAGTAATAGATTATAGTCCAAGGATGCCAATACAGCCGGAAAAAAAAAGCGAAAATTTTCCGGAAAACCGCGACTTTTCGACCCGTGTCTCCCCTTAAGATGGCGACGCTCAGCCCACTGCAATGCTCATGGCGCACACGCGAAGTTCGAACAAATTTTGTTTTTTGGGGGGCATTTTACTGCTGCTGGAGTGCTTTGAAGGTTCATTTTATCGCATTTCTTTACCGAATTTGGCGTTAGTACAGTTGAACTCCTTTATAAGAGGCACGCTCTCGGCAGCAATTCTTGTCTCTTATATGAGATGTCTCTTATAAGTAGGGTGCCTCGTATGCGTTTTCTTATGAACCTGTATTTTACTGTAGGTGCACTGGTGTCTCTTATACCCATTTATCTCTGATATTAGTGTCTCTTATAAAGGGGTTCGACTGCAGTTTCTGAGTAGGTGCTCTGAGGTAAACACCCCGAAAACAAACTTTGCTAGAAATGATTTTTTCGGCCGTGTTTGATCGTTTCAAGACCTGTGTCCCGCATGAAAACGAACGATACCCGCTGGACAATAAAAATATATAATATTTCAATGACACAAAATCGCAAACGAATGTTTTTGAGCATCGCTGATCGGTTACAGCGAACGGAATTGGCGCTCCAGCGACTTCTCGGAAAACCGCTTTCGACCACTGATCAATCATCGGCGAGGTGCCCATAAATTGTTATTGTTAAATTCCGACCCTGCCTTCCCAGTCCTGTAGTTGTTGCTCTTTCGAACAGTTTTTTTTTTTTTCACGCACCTCCTACGTCCGTTGTCTCCCCGTTACTCAGAGCTTCCAGCATTGCCAGACAAGGCCTGTTTTCTCACTCCACCAATCTTTCGAAGATTGCTCGACCAACTAGTCTACCCTAAGTTCTTTATCACTGGTTTTGTTACACTTTTATTTGTTACACAGCATGTATTGAGCAGACCATTTCCCAACATCCTTGGCCATCGACTGTACCAGATCATCTGCGGCTGTGTCTTGTCTGCGTCGGTGTCTTCAGTGACCATCAGTGACCATCATTCACTGTGCTGTCTGCGTCGGTGTCTTATGGTTCCAGCATTTGCGCTAGTCCACAGATTTTGATAATTGACTATTCGTTCCTTGTTTAGGACCTGTTATTGCTCACTTCACATTCCTCTCAGCATGCTCTCCGCATGCGTGCGTAAGCGTAATAACGGCTGTTACATGAAAGAAGTCGCAAATTGTCGAAGTCAGCGGGGCTGTGCAAGTCCGCCGGCTACACAATGTGCTACACAATGCCATCCTTCTAAATCTGCGTGCGCAAACCACTCACAAGTTTGATGAGAAAGCCTCTACGATGCTACACACTGATGCCAGCAATGTTGGTCTGAAAGCTGTGCTTGTGCAGCTGCAAAAGATCACAGAAAGAGTAATTTCCCATGCCAGCCGAACACTAACACTAGCTGAGGCTAATTACATTATGACTGAGAAGGATTGCCTCACCGTGGTATGGGCGGTCAAAAACGAATGTAGCAGCCTCACAACAAGGATGTTCTATTTACACGGTTTATTAAGGGTGAACTTGTGCCCAAAGTGAACGACGCACAGCAATCAAGATTCGAAGGTCCGTAGTCCTCGTGAGCCTTTGCCTCGAGCCACCTCGTTCTCTTCTTCTTTACGCGCGTTGGCTGTTCGGTGGAGTACCGTGCACATGCAGGGCCGGTTCGTGCATCGCGGCTTGCTTCGTCGCTCGTAGTCGTGCCATTAGCGTTTCTCTGGTTCCCGATGTCCGTGTTGCGCGGAGCAATGGTAGTTTCCTGTGGCATTACTACTGCCCTTTCAAAGCCTTCAGTGACCATCATTCACTGTGCTGGTTGACGAATCTTAAAGATCCTACTGGGCGATCAGCACGTTAGTCTCAGGCTGCAAGAGTACGACATGGCGGTCGTACACAAGTCAGGGAATCGACATATGGACGCTGACTGTCAATCTCGCTCAAACATTGAATCGGCAACTCTATCTGATGAGGGGGAAACAGCATTCCTCGGTGTTCTCGACACGGCCGTCATTACACAGCAACAACATGGCGACCCCTAGTTGCTTGCCCTAATTAATTACCTGGACAGTAGATCTCACTAGGCACCAGCTGTTTTTATAAGCGCTGCATCATTTTGTTTACGGGACGGAGTATTATACAAAAGAAACTTCTCCTTAACAGGATCCGCCTATTTGCTCGTCATCCCAGCCGCCCTTCGCTCCGAAGTACTCTAAGTATGCCACAACTAGGTGACTTCAGGCCACTTAGGTTACACGTGAACGCTGGCCAGAGTACGGCATCGGCACTACTGGCCAAGACTAACCATAGCCGTAAAGCACCACGTTCGTACTTGCCTCGACTGCCAGTGACGGAAGTCACCGCCGACTAAACCAGCTAGCGTCCTGCAGCCCGTGCAGGTCCCAAGAACACCATTCGACCAGATCCGCATGGATATTTTGGGCCCACTTCCTACTTCTACTGCCGGGAACCGCTGAGTGTAGCTGTTGTTTACTTTACCCATGATCCTAAAACCAAGGCTATTCAGAGAGGTACAGCAGCGGAGGTGGCACAATTTTTCATAGAGAATGTTGTACTGAGGCATGGTGGACCAAGCGTCGTGATCATATACAGAGGAACCGCATTTACAGCAGCTCTTTTGGATCAAGTCCTAATGCTGAGTGGAACAACCTATCGTAAGACCACCGCCTACCAACCGCAAACGAACGGGCTTACAGAGCGCCTGAACAAAACAATTGAAGACATGCTTTCAATGTATGTAGACATCGGACACTAACATTGGGACGAAATCTTGCCATATACCACGTTTGCATACAAAACGGCCAAGCAAGAAACAACCCGGATGACCCGGTTCAGCCTAATTCAGGGACAGGAATTACGAACCATGTTAGATGCGATGCTATTGTGCGAATGTGCCGACATTAACCGGGATGCCAAGATGTTTACAAAATGCGCGGAAGCAGCAAGGCAACTAGCACGTTGTGAATCCAGCAGCTGTAAGAGTACCGCGCAGGCTGCTACAATGCTCACCGCAGAACACTCGTTTACCAGACCGGCGACAGAGTATGGGTTTGGACGCCCATACAGAAACGAGGACTCTCCGAAAAAGCTGTTGAGGAGATAATTTGGGCCATACCTAGTACTGCGACGATTGAGTGATGTTACTTAGGAGGTCGTTCCCAACAGTTCACTTATTACGAGGCGTCGCCAGCACCGTCCTGAACTGTTCAATAGAAAGAATAATTCTATATAGATTCAATACATCCCAAGTTCGGTATATTCAGGATCGATTGTAGATTAACCTCTATGAGGCAGATTTGGAACGTTGGACTTGAGAGGAGCACACCCTTGTCCGCCACATCAGTTTGGCTTCCAGAGAAGTCGAAAGAGGAGGAGAGGCTGAGAAAATAGCATCATTGCCTTTCACTTGTGTTAGCGTATGTTTTTAACCCTAAACTAGATGATGGATGCAAATATTCACAACATAGACTTTAAATGCAATTTAGGGCACTGAACGTAATGAACACATGACACACTGAAATAAAAAGGTAGAAAGGTTAATTATATTTAATTAATAAAAAGACTTCATTAGAACTTTCATAATTCAAGAACACTACGACTAAACGCATGTGCACAATCGCTCAACATCGCACCGCACTCAGAACCGCTCTGTTCACTCGTGTTTTGTCGCCCCTTCTCCTCACATTTCAGTCTTCGTTTCCCACGCTTTTCAGACTCCTTCATTTATAAGTTGGAGGCACACACACACATTCGTCGACACAAAACGCACTCGGATATCGCTCAGATGCACGCATGAAATGGTTCCTTGAAGACGGGATGAGGCCCCCTCTCTAATGGCCGACGAGCAAACGTATTGTCGATGGGAAAAAAAAAATTGTAAGAAGCAAACAACACTCAACGAGTGCCGCGTATACTTGCAAAGCGTTGACACTTGGGTGGCACGAAGTCACATACATAAATACAATTTGGCGTTTGCATTGCCTCATTCTTGACAAGACAACTACAAAATGCCATCCGGCCAGCTCTTCATCAACCTAGCCCTAAGAAACACTTTAATGTGTCTATCTCATAAGAATATGCTTAGGAGTCTTTGTGTGTTACCATTTCAACACTGCATTTAATATCTACAAATCATGACCCCGATGTTCTCCTCGACTTCGCTATTGTTGCTTTTGTAAATTCTGTAGTGACATCAGATGCTACTTTTGCATAGTTAATAAATTTGAGTTTTCTTTCCTCTAAAAATGTGAATTAGATTATATTGTAATTAAATTAATTAGTGTAACAAGCATCTTATGGTGTGATACCTGGGCTGCGGTTTAGCTGCTTCCTCTGCCAGCATTTTTATGTGGACGAGTACTATAATATTAAGCCACGCTTTTTTCCCTCTATTTGTACACCTCATTCAACAAAGATGGTGACGATGAAGATGAGCTTATGGCCAACGGTGTCAAGCCAGCCCGAGGTCAGCGACCTATCTTTGAGTGCTTCTGGAATGGCAGACTCATCCCATACACCACAATTGAGGAGTTCGACTGGTGCAGCCCTCCCAAGAAGACAAGAAACATTCCCATTGAATGCTTCAACAGGTGACGAGTTCTCGTTGGTCATTTGTTTTACTAATTTATTGTGGCACTAGAGTGCTTTGTTTTGGACAGGGAGACACTCTTGAAAGCACTTTTTAAAATTCTCAATTGATTTTGGTGAAACTTGCTGGGTCCATGTATGTTTGAGTGCTTCTTTTTACAAATATGCTATTATTTTAATACCATGCAGTGGAAACCACTTATATTGTAACCACTTATAGTACAGGAGCGGTTATAACGCGGTTCTTTCGATTCTCATGTACCTTCCAATTGAACTCCATGTACAGTAAAAGCTCTATAATTCCAACTCAACTAATTTCCAATCAGCAGGCAGGCGCTAGAATGAACAGACATCGCGCCACAGTGTCTGGCAAGAGCCCAGAGAAGCCACCTCTGGACTTGTTCCCACAAATTATATAATAATACACATTTATGGCAGGTAATTTCGTAAATTAGGTTCATGCTCTAACAGTAAATGAGATGTATTGGTCAGTGATATTCCAGAAACAACTTTTATTCACATGAACGGTGAGCATTAATGGCCATATAGAGGAAGCTGTTTGCGCTCTGAAACACAAATATATACATGACAGAGTTACTACAATCAAAATTTAAAGCCTTTATTTTTTAGCTAATTTGGAACAGTAATGAAATTGTTCATGGGGACCCGGCCAAATTCAAACACTGCCTGACTGGGAAGTGTCGCCCATACAGCAGTAGCAGCCGACAGATGGCACTAACAACTATAAAAGCATACGTGGAAAGCGATCACTACTTTTGTTTAACCAAATGAAAGTGATGAATAATTTGGGCGACCATTCTGGGCCAATTTCTGCAAGGTGGGCCGCCCGAAAGCAAGGCGGCTCTCAGTTTGGATTAACCGTTGTAGATACCGACGGTTTTGAATTATTGGGAGTTCCCCTTCTGTAGAAATATATAGTGCTGTGCCTGAACCAGGGCGTCAGTTTGAATTACGTGCTAGTTCGAGTTAATTGAGTTCAAATTAACGAGCTTTTACTTATACGCATACTTATGATGCAGTCCTTAAGATGAAAGACTGTTTATAATACAGTTGCCGAAAATACTTTGTGGCAAACGCAATAGCAAGTTCACTTCTCAAAGGAGAGACTGGTGCTGCGATCATTCAGTGGCCATGGGAATAATGGGTAGTAGCAGATTTGCCTAAACTTTGTACTGGCAGGCTTTGAATCCCACTTGTGGCTTTGTTTATTGCTGTGTTTCTGTTTTGTTATGAAAGAAAGAATGAACCATTTGAACTTCGTGGCCTGATTTGAACTGGTAAGCCGGAAAAGTTAAGTGAGGTCTAATTGCTGAACATTTGCTGATTTTTGTTTCGTAACAAAACAGCTCCTAGCCACGCGAAGCCAACCGGAGCTGAAAATGCGAAAATTAGAGAAATCCATGTTCTATCCATCATTCCCATGCTCGCTTAAGTACCGTGCGTGGCAGCTCCCGTAGACACTAGTGCCAGAGTTCCCTCTAGTGTACTTACAATCGAACCTCGTTATAACAAAGTTGAAAGGGGAGTTATAATTACTTTGTTATAACCATTAATTTATTATAGCCAACAACCATTTCTACCAACAATTAACTAGCAAGAGAGAATGTACTCACTATCGAATATCACAGCAGCTCACTGCGCAGAGAAAAATGGCCATCGGAAGACAAAAAGCTAGCAAAATAATAAAGAACAGTGCACTTTATTTCCACCAACTTCAGCACACCATATAGCGGACCACTTCGAAGAAAAATAGTCCTTAATAGACTTTTACCTACTCTTCTTCACGTGGATGATTTCTTTTTCAGCTTCAGCAGTTATTTCGAGTCCGTCCTCGTTGTCGTCATAAGCTCCAAAGAAGTGGCGCAGCAGGTCTGTCGCATCCAGTGCTTGCGCCGGCGTTGGTACGTTGAGTTCGCCAACGTTAGGCTCTGTGGTGCCGACACATTCATCAGTGTCATCATGCACCCCCGTCACCGCGCACACTATTTCCGCATCTGACAACTCTTTCGTTGTGACCACGTCAGCATCAGCACCGACATATGTGCAGCAAGTGTCGCAGTTAGGCACAACGCCGGCATCGATGAGAGCATCCCAAAACGTCTGGGCCTGGTTGCTCGCGGCATCCTCGATCACTGGCGACATCGACGAAATCTTCAACAACTTTTTTTTTTCTCGAGGCCGGACTCAACGGCTTTCACCATTGATCTGACTTCTGCTCGATTGTTATATTTTTGCGCTTAAGTTTGCCGCTGCTGTTGTCCATCTCGTATCTGGTGGCGGAAACTAATAGATGCGGTTTGGCGGTGTTGCTATTCCACAGCGAATGACAAAGAACAAAGCACAATCTGCGGACTTTATTATTATTTGCTAGTTTATTTTAAATACTAGTTCAAATTCTGGTTTATTGAAACAGCAGTGCCCATGTTTACTCCTGATGATTTAGGTGATGGTGAATGGCTTGCAATGTGTTGTTTTTCTAAATGTAGTCTTTCTTTGCTCCAAGTGTGTTCTTTCGTGATAAAAAATAGATGTTTTATTTCTTGTAACCTGCTCCAAGTTTACGTACTAGTGCTCCAACAGTAAGGTTCTGCTGCCTCGAAAATCGCTCCAAATTTTATTTCGGCTGTTGCACCCCTGACCACATGTTATGTTGGTAGGGCTAACAGTGAAATTTGGAAGAAGAGGGAGAAAAAAAAAAAAAAACGTGTTTTCAACAAGAGTCCGGAATATGCTATCGGTGAAGCTCAAAAGCAGAAGCATGCTGTTGTGCGTTTGATATCTTGTTCGTCCTGCTGTTGTTAGCAGTATGCATTCAATGTTTGGTTGTAAATGTACCCTCGACTTCAAATTTTCAAATTCAAATAAGATAGGGAGACCGGCAGTAGAACTGTGCTATTATGTGTCTAACCACTGCATTATGGTTGGCCAGTTTTGGCCTAGCTCCCATAGAGTTCAATGAATTGGGAACGACGCTGTTTTATCACTATAGGACTGTTTCCCTGTGATATGTCATAAACAGGTACTTTGAAATGACCTGAGTGGATAAGAGTGGCTGTGCAGGGCAACCATGTTGGCTTTTCACATAGCTTGATCTGTCCTGACAATGAAATTAGCTGCACAATAGAGGATTGGATGTTGCCAATTTCACCTTTTTATTACATTTCTGCCAGCGAAATTTGCATTTAATGTTGGTTTTATGCACATGGGTGCAACTTCTATTACCAGGTGTCCTGCTAGCTGTGTCAGAAATATTTTGATTTGTAATGTTCGCATAAAAATTTTACATGAAAAGTAAATGCATTGATCCGTTTACATTTTTCACTCTATCAGGATTTCGGGTGTCCTCTGGACAGATGATGCATTCCAAGTAAGCACCAACAAGCTCACTTTCATGGATCTGGAAAACAAGCTGCGGGAAAAGAACACCATATTTGCCCGCGTTGTCAATGGCCAGGCAAGTATAGAGCTTTTTTTTTAATTCAGTAATTAAGAACGCTAGAAGGCGGGTACTGTTGGTGAATGCCACTTTTGTCATGTTTTTGCAAAAACACACGGGTGTTCTTGGGTTGTGTGGATAGTACGTGTGCTGGAAGTGCAAGTATTCAGTTAAAAGGTGTAACTTCAACCACTGCAGCAAACTGTACCTTTTCTTTGTTCACGTATAACTTGCCTCTGCAGCCTGCACTTTTAAATTGAACTTTATAAAAGAAAGAATCAAAGAAAGCATATAATTTGCACCCTCACTTTTTAAGCGCTTTTTTATTTTGATACGAGTTATATGTGAGAGGATATACAAATTTGGATCTTATGGTACCACGCTAGATGTCTAATTTAACCAACTGTTGAATTACCCTGGGTACCACCATAATAAAGACCTACTGTGATTTCACTATACAGTATAAAGAGTGTTAAGAAGATCATATTCAAAATCGAGATGAAATAGGCAGGGCATGCAGCAAAAAAAGCAAGGTATCAGCTGGTCATTAAGAGTAACAGACGGGATTCCAAAAGAAGGCAATCATGTGAGCGGGAGGCAGAAAGTCAGGTGAGCAGGTGAGATTGAAAGAATAGCATGGGCGTTGATAACATGGGCGTTGAATGGACCTCTTGGTATTTACCAGTCATTTTGAAAAAAAATCACTGGTAAATACCGAGAAGTTCATTCAGAATTTTGTTTCAAAAACGTATTAGGTATACCATCCGGCCCTGCACATTTTGTTGTATCGATATTTAAGTACAAGGTTATGAACGCCCGCAGTAGTGATTAGCTTGCTTGGGAAAGGTGGCAATGACGTAGTGAAAAATGTGGGAATGCGCCGATCATCACGTGTAAACACTGATTTAAAATAGTCATTAAATGCTTCAGAAATGCTAAGATTATCAGAGCATGGTTTATCGGAAATAATGAATGAGGAAATAATTAATGAAATAATAATGAATCAACAAAAGCACATATAATCAACAATAAGAACACTTGCGGCCGACTGGAAACTGAAGACGCAAGCATGAGAGACAAGTCCAACAGCATTTGCAATAATACGCTGAGGTAGGACAGGGGAGCGATAACACATTCAGGAGCTAGTAATAGAACACCCGAAAAATGCATCATAATATTAATGCAGAACTTGAGTGTTACGATAAACGAAACAAAATCAAAGATAGTGAACTCAAGGATAGATTCCACGCATGGATGCATACCGCGAAAGAAATTCCGCATACCTTGTCAGTAAAAAAAAAATGAAAAGAGTTGTGTGAATCATCACAGATAATGTTGCGCTGCATTTGTTAAGCCATGAGGTGACGATACGCTCACTGTGTCATATCGAAGCTCGTTCCAACCTGCTATCGTTCGAGGAAAAAGTGAAAACTGATATGGGTTCGTTTTATCTCATTGCCCTACAATCGTCTTACTGTGCTTTGATCTTGTTCACCTTGTGCTGTGATACTGCATGTAACCAGTAAAGTTCATGTGTAACAATACAGCTTACAATATTGTAAAGCATTTGCAGTCAGTGCTGTTTCCTGCGTGATTCTAGAGTTCGAAAATCGCTTAAATGTCGAAGGTTAGTAATGGACACCTGCCTGTCGTAAGCGTTGAAGATGAATCTCAGCACTTTTTTTTTTTGAACGTTTTCAATGCAGTCGGTATTGCATTTGGTGTGCAGGACTCCAACTACGTCCGCATATTCTATTAACGGTCTAACTAATGTGTAGGCCACAAGCTTAGTTTTAGGAGTGCAATGTGTCATGCAATTTCTTAGCTTGTAAAGTTTTTTTAAAGCCTTGAAAAATATGTATTGCACATGACTACTCTGGCTTAGCATAGAATTGATGTATAATCCCAAGTACTTAAATTGGTCTGCCGAAACCAGTGGAACATTATTGATGCTATAGGCGTGGACTAGTGGCTCCTTCTTGCGTGCAACTCTCATCTGAACACACTTGGAAAGGTTAGGCACATCTGTATGTTGAGCACCAGCCGTAAACAGCTGCTAAGAAGCTTTCTAGTATCTGTTGATCTGTCTTTGACTGAATATGCATGTATGCAACGCAGTTGTCTGCAAATAATCGGCAACACAATGGTGAGTTAATATGTAATTCATTAATATAAATTAAAAAGAGTAACGGGCCGAGCACCGAGCCCTGGGGAACGCCTGAAAGCATGGTTGCAAAATCTGAGTCCGAGTTGCCTATGTGAACAAACTGCCTACGCAGTGTGCAATACGTGTCGAGCCACTTTACTATCTGAGCGTTGTCAAAAAGGCATCGGAACATTGTCTGTATGACACACGCTCAAATGCTTTTTCCAAATAAAGAAAAACCATGTCGATGTGCCCGCCCTTGTCGAGAATTGCGATCAGTTCATTTATAGTTTGAATGAGCCAAGCCACTCCGAAAACCATACGGATTACTTGAAAATTAATTCTAAGAAAGAACAGTGATGCTCAAATATGATATGTTCTAAAACCTTGCTACAAGTGCATAATACCGTGACTGGTGTGTAGCTGATTACCTTAAGTTTGTCACCATTTTTGAAAATAGGCACCATCCTTCCTGTTCTCCATTCTAAAGGAATTTCTGCTGTCAGTATACCTTTTTAAAAAATCATATTCTCATACTTTTTGCACCATTCAGCGTATCTGAGCAGTAACATGTTTGATATGCGATCCGGACCAATAGATTTTTTTTTGTGTCTAATTCAAGTAGCGCTGAAAAGATAGATGCCACTTTCGTTGCTTTTCTATATCAGGGATAGCATACATTGGACTCTCAGTAAACGAAAATCTGATAAACGGAACTGATTGGTTTTATCTTTGCATACTGCACCCTAGTTCACCTCCCAGTAAATGGAACTCTCGTTGAGCAGAACAAATTTTCCCGGTCTCTTCAGGTTCCATGTAATGAGAGTCCACTGTAACTAGTTTTCGGACATGACGAAGGCCGACCGGTGACGGGAGAAAACAAAGATGAAAATAGTCATTAAATGCACTGGCTATACAGTTAATGTCATCAGTGATAGCGTCATCAAGTTTCATTTTGCTAACAGCATCATTTTTTCTCCTTAGGTGCAACCAGAACTTTCTTGGGTCACTTGCTAGAAAATGATGCATTTTGACATTAAAGAAGTGGAACTTGGATAGCTTTATTTTTGTGTGCAATTCATCTCCCAGCAGCTCTAAGGACCCGTCCCCTCTGTTCATATTCAAGCAATGTAGTCACCTGACACGACGTTTTAACTGTAATATTTCCCAGGTGACCCAGGGATTCCAGCAATTACGCTTTTTTGTTTAGTGGGTGTATAATTGCTAATTATATACAGTGAAACCTCGTTAAACCGTAGTTGGCCGGAGCTCGGAAAAAGTACGTACTAAACAGTAGTACTGCTTAACCGAAATAGCGTCAGGTCGCTCACTTACCTGTCAAAAAAAACGAAACCTTCACGGAGTGCGATGAAAGAACAAAAAACGTGCAGTAATTTATTAACTTCGCATGACAAAGTCTGTAATCTTCATTTGACGACGCGGCGGCCTAGCAGCAACGACAGCGGCCTCAAGCTCACTTATGCTGTGAGCCAGCTTTTCCGCCAGCCCCCTCTTTTCGGCAAATACCCGCATGATATTGACGCAATGCGCAGCTTTGGCCACTGTCGAACCTAGATCATCCGTGTTGTCGCTTTCCATGTCGTCCTCATCACGATCATTTGGCGACACTTCGACAACTGAGGCAACAATGGCTTCGTCGGACATGTCCGGAGATGATGTCTGCGTCTCTGAAGTCGGGGAAGGAAATGCCTTCTGTAACGCCCTGCCGCTCCAGCACTTCAGCTAGCAGAGTTTTGCAAGCTTTGTCTACGATGTCCGAAGTCTTATTGATGGTGTCACTGGCGTCATCTGCGTCGCCCGCACACACACTGAAGCCAGCACGCTTGAAGCAATTTTGAACTGTCGTTGCTTCAACCTGCCGCCACGAGTATTCGAGCAGGTGAATCGCGCCAATCAGGTCGATGGAGAATAATTTGCCACATTCAATGGCGAGTAGAAATCTGGGCAGCAGATTCTTCTTGTAGAGCTGTTTTACAGCTCGAATGATGCCTTGGTCCAAGGGCTGGGCAATCGCTGTTGTGTTTGGTGGCAGAAACGCCAATTTCACAGTCGTCAGGTTGTCCAGGGCGACATGCGCCGAAGCGTTGTCTAAAATAATAACAACTTTTCTGTTCTTAGCCGCAAAACGACGATCGATGAGGCGCACGTACTCCTCAAAGAGTTTTGCCGTCATCCATGCTTTGGTGTTGCTGCGCTGCGATAGATGACCCTTGATGGCAACCGGTCGCCTTTGAAACATCTAGGCTTCGCCGACTTTCCAATCACGAGGAGTGGAGTTTTGTCGGTTCCAGTCATGTTTACGCAAAACGCCACTGATATTCTGTCTTTTGCATGCTTGCCGCCAGTGCACGTCTCGCCTTTGAACGCGACCGTTTAGTCTGGTAGCAGCTTAAAGAATAGCGCCGACCATTCATATTAAAGATGTCATCAGGTGCGTAGTCTTCCAAGATGTTCTTCAGCTGACCATTTTGCCACTGCTCCGCACCATCCAAGTCAGCGGCAGCACCTTCTCCCGAAACAGTCCTCGTGGTAATGCCGTGCCTCGCATTAAATCTGACCAGCCAGCCATTGCTGCACACGAAGTTGTCATGGTTGAGCTGCGAGGCAAAAACCAGGGCCTTCTCCACGAGCAGGGGTCCGCTGAAAGGCAGATTTTTTGACCGTGCAGCTTTAGCCACTTCACCAGCGCCTCCTCTACATCCGAAAACGCCGAACCGCGTAGCCGGCACCTTTTCGCTGTTGCAGCAGCACTGCCGGGCAACTCCTCTCTGGAATTCCTAATTCCACACACCGTGGTTAACGGCAGGTCATTTTCGCGTGCCAGCGCTGATTTTTTCGTGCCACTTTCAATAGCACGAATTATGTCCAATTTCTCCTCTATTTTCAGCACTCGATGCTTTTGTCCCAGCTTCGGCATGACGCAAGTACCAAGCAGCACAAGCACACATACACTACACGTGAAAAACGACGCGAGAGCTGTACGGCACGGATCAACTAGACAAGACCTATGCACAGCACCAAAGGAACAAAGAAAGCAAAGCAAGCGCACACCGTGTTTGTGTGTTTGTGCAAAGCGCCATCGCGTGGACAACACCAGAAGCCTAGCCGGCCGAGTGCTTCTTGTTGCAGAAAAATCTGAGAAATGGCGCTCACCAACACAGCCGCCATCATCATCAACACAAACAAGCGAGGCGTGTTTCGATCTCTGGGGCTTGCTGTTCTGTCGGGACGCCCAGTAGGGGACGACATGCCGCGGCGAATGCGCAACGAAAATGGGAAAAACCACTTATTAACCGATACATATGCGATAAGCTGGTACGGCTTATGCAGATACAAAATGCATTATGTTCAATGGCCGCCGAGTCGGGGATTTGACTTCACTACTTCTAAAACGAAACTACTGTTTACACGGGTACGGTTTAACGAGGTTTCACTGTATTCACAACCGACTTGAAGTGATTCCACAAGTTTTCGACAGTCGATTGTCTAGTAGCGTACATATGCTGAAAAACATCACAGGTCTAGTAAACTCTCATTTTTAGCACAGTTAAAATCGGGGAATTTTTTAGTGACGTGTTTGCCCTTTATTCTTGATACTTCTTGCAACCACTAAAAAGGACAATGTCGTGATCTGATAATCCAGGCAAATACGATATTTCATAGCCTAAAGCACTGATATTTTTCGAAACGAAAACGATCAAGAACTGTCTTAGAAATAGCCGATACTCAAGAATGCCGATCCAGAAGCTGCTCCAGCCAAAACGAAAAAGTAATATCAAGCATCAACTCAGAATTTTGACATGATGACGAAACACTCAGTTGGTCCCAGTTAATTTTGGGAAGGTTGAGATCACCGCACAAGATGATATTTGCATTGCTTTTACAGTGCTCATACATGAAATCATGCATTTTTCTATAATTGAAAGATTTACGTCCGGAAGTTTGTAAATTGCACCAAAGAAAACACACTATTTGCACGGGCTGAAGCAAATCCATTACATCTAAACGTTGGTACTATGAGGTATCACTGTTTACTCAATGTTTTTCTTCAGCGCAACTGCGACGCCACGATTGTTTTACTGAGCAGTTTTTACGCCAGGGTCATTTTTATGACGCTGCAGTCGTTATACTGAGTGATGCCGAGATCGGGTATCGTGATGGTTATATTCAGCTTCATTAGTGTTTTAGCAATGCATTTTTTTGTTTTTTCTTCTTTTTTGTCTCTTTATTTTTTGGGCCTGCGTGCTCAATAAATTTACAAATCAGTGCATTGTGATATTGGCGACAGCCAGGTGTTAAGCATCCATTTCTGTTTTTTTTTGTTACATGTTGGTCAAATCGGAAAGATAAAAATTGTTGTTGTTGTATATTGGTACCAAAAACAACCATTTTGGTTTGAATACTGATGTGTCATTTGTCAAGTTTATCCACACATATATTAGGCCATTTTGGTCCAAATAAATCTACTTCTTAGTGCTCGTATGTGGCGTGTTCCTCGTCCATTGTCTCAGTTGTGCTGAGCTTTCTCATTGGGCTGTAATATACAGGCGGCAGTCCCATAGCACATGGCTGAACGGGAACCTCCTGTCAGAAAACAGGATGCCTAATTAATATACACTCGTACCTCAATATAACAAACCTGGATATAACGAACTATTGGTTATAAGGAAGTAAATTAACAATCGTCTTGCAATGGATGTAGTTCTGGGAATAAACCAATGTTACGAATTTTCAGAGATATAACGAACTGATTTTTGTGCAACTTTGTCATAATGAGGGTTGAGTGTACTGGAATACTGATTGCATTTTTCTCAGTTCTCGTCTTACCCCTTCTCCCCTGCTATGCTTAATTGTAGGCCAGAAATTTTTGTGCTTTTCCGTATCGTTACTCACCAACACATTGGTATTTTGTGACGTAGGTGGTGCGTGCCAGCATCGAGAAACACTTTTTCGAGTGGCTGCAGTCGTGTCACGAGCACAGTGACAAGCAGATCATGTTTGAGTCTTACCAAGAGACAATCAGCCGAAGGGACACTCAAAAGTACAAGCAGTACCCCTGGGCCGTCTTCAATGCCATTGAGTGGGATGGCAAGCACTTTAAGAAAGGACAGCTGGTGAGCTAGCCTTCAAGGGCACCTTCACTCGCATCTCATGGAGTCTCTGTGTAAATGTGGTTTTTGTTAGAAGGACTCTAAAAAGAAACAATAAAACAATAAGGTGTTTCAGATTGATAACTGTACTCTGAGAACTCATAAGTTCATTATCAGCAGAGAAAATCAAGGTTGAGGTTTGAGATTTAAAATTTGCACTGTAATCTCTGTGCTTGACTTAACAAATTCTACAATATATTTTTCGTATTTTTGTGGTATTGCCTCGATGAAATTTTTGGACACTTCGTATGCTAATTTTATGGCACCCACAGATTATAACATACTTGAATTTTATTGATTAGAAGCTACATAGGACCCAGTAGATGGCTTCAAAATTTAATGCGTCATAGTGTTTGGTGCGGGAATCTCAAGGTGGCGTCTCCACTGCAGTTTCTCATCGCTTGTTTTCTCGCTCACCAAGTGTCGTGTTGCAGTAAGAGTGGTGTTTTAGGGATTGTAAAATTGTACTCTATTAATATACGCAAAAAAGCATTTTGATCTATAGTGTCCTTTTAACAACAGGCTATAGCTGAGCTAGCGACTCGCCAATAGAGACGATAGTTGTCTCTGAATTTTCGGATCACTTGATTTCTTTTACATAGTTGAAAACACTGCCTTAATGCCGTCTGCAAAAAAATTCAAGTGCCAACTACAGTAGACTTTCGATAAATGAAACTCTGATAATGCAAAATTTTTGTTAATTGAAACTACTTTCAATGTCTAGTTTTAGCTGCTATGTTTGCAATCTATTTTAAAGCTGCCTATTAATAGTGCTCCAACGCATGAATTTGATTAATTCGTATTTTTTCTTTGACCATACTTGAAAATATCAGTTGCTTTTGTTACTTTTGGCTGTGTATTCGCATTCCTATATCATGATTAGTTGGAACTAAAGCCAATCATTAGCCTGGAAAGTGGCCAAACTTGCCAAAATGAGTGCGCCAACATTAATGTAATGATGAAGACAACGAAAAAACACAACAAAGACAAGGTAGTATTAAAAAACAAGAAGCTCTGTCATTGTATCACTTTTGCCGCAATGCAATGGTGTCATGTGGAAAAGCACAATTGTGCTGGGAAGGGGTATCACTGCTGTGAGACAGTAAATTTTTTTTTTGCTCAATTACTCATGAATCCAAACAATGTGTAATAACACCTTCTGATGTTAAAAACTTTACTTGCACTTATACAGAGATGTCTAATGTCACTGCCCCTCGAAAAACAAATAGTACAATGCTGCAGCGGAACCACTATTATATGACTTTTAGGGGGCCACGCAAGAACCTTTATATAATCCATGTGTCGTATAATCGAAAAACTAGAATTGTAGGCTGTGACATACAGCCTTGCCCAAAAAACAGGTACAGACAGCCCGAATAAGCCCACGGCCCGACCTTGTGCCTCTGCAAGAAAGGTAGATTAAATTATTCTTGCCAGAGGCTGCGCAGGGCAACATTTCTCAGTTGGAGGAGGTGCGAGTGAATCTTTATTGTCAATTAAAAAAAAATCGTAATCCATTGCACATCTTTTTACCGATAAACAGAGTCCGAAAACTGCCTGTGCGTGAGAACGAAACCGAAACTGCGTTGCCAATGGCCTCCTGTCAGAAGAGTCAAACATAGTGTCATTGCAACAGAATCGAAAGTTGGGCTGTTGTTGGATATACATGGTTAACTGTTAGTTCAAGCACACGGATAAACAGAAAAAAAAAGTGCTTGTCCTTTCTTTCTTTCTGTTTATTCGTGCGTTTGAACTGACAGTTATACCATAGTGTCATTGCCATCGCATATTGCCGATAGGCCACAAGTTTGTGTCGAGCATATGTAGAGTTTGTGTAGTACACTTTCATGCGACTGATCTGTGCATCCTTTAGTTTGTTGGCTTGCGAGGTGCAGAAATATCAGCAGTCATGCAGATACTGCGGAATCATGGCGTCGACAAAGCATATATAAACATCCTGGAAGAAATTTACAGAGGATCAACTGCCACCATAGTGCTCCATAAAGAAAGCTTCAGAATATCAATCGAGAATGGTGTAAGACAAGGGGATGCAATCTCCTCAATGCTATTTACCACGTGCTTACTAGAGGTTTTCAGATGTATAGATTGGAAAGAGTTAGGGATAAGAGTTATTGGAGAGCACTTTGGTAACCTGTGCTTCGCTTATGACATTACATTGCTGAGTAACTCAGGGTACGAATTGCTACTTATGATTACTGAATTAGACAAGGAGAGCAGAAGGTAGGTCTTGAATTGAATCGAAAATGAAAGTAATGTACAACAGCTTTGGAAGAGAACAGTGCTTCGAGATAGGCGATGGTGCACTTGAAGTTTTAAAAGACTGCCTTGCCGCGGTGGTCTAGTGGCTAAGGTACTCGGCTGCTGACCCGCATGTTGCGGGATCGAATCTCGGTTGCAGCGGCTGCATTTCCGATAAATGTTTAGGCCCGTGTGCTCAGCTTTGGGTGTACGTTAAAGAACCTCAGGTGGTCGAACTTTCCGGAGCCCTCCACTACGGCGTCTCTCATAATCATATGGTGGTTCGGGGACGTTAAACCCCACAAATCAATCAATCAATTGTGCGTTAGGCCTATTTGTGCGACGAAGTGCGGTGTATCACGGTGTTATTTCAGCCTGATGGAAAGAAAGCAACCGCACCATACACTCTAAAGCTGCAAATTCTTGAGGAGCTCGATCGAAGCGGCCTGCCCAAGATGGAGGTGGCGAAAAAATACATCCCGAAATCGACGCTGTCACGGATCTGGAAAGACGGAGAAAAGATTGAAGGCACTGTTAAGAACGGGACCTTTACATCTAAAGGGATGCGGATGCGGACGACGCCTTATGAACAACTAGAAAAGTTCTTTTTCTGTGGGTCAAGCGTGCACGGAGTTCCAATTAGCCCATAAGTGGACCAATTCTCGAGCAGAAAGCTCGAGAGATCGCCATGCAAATGGATGTTAACAACTTTGTCCAAAGCGACAGATGGCTCAGCCGCTTCAAAACACGCCATGGCCTAGTCTTCAAAGCAATCTTAGGTGAGAGTGATGGAGTCAACAGGAACATTTGCACCGACTGGCAACAGGGGCGGTGTAAGGAAATTTTAATGAGCTTTGAGCCACGACACCGTCGACGACATACGTATTTTTTTATAAGCCCCTTTCATCAAAGACTCTCACCTTAAAAGGCGAAACCTGTAGTGGAGGAAAATGCAGTAAATATCGCATCACTGTGCTGGTGGGTGCAAACATGGCAGGAGATGAGAAATTGAAGCTGTTGGTAACAGGAAAATCAAGGCACTCACATTGTTTCAAAGGCGCTCGACACCTTCCCGTTGCGTACCATGGGAACGTAAAAGCGTGGATGACCATGGCCATATTCGAAAACTGGCTTCGGGAGGAAGACGCAAGATTTACGAGGCAAGGCAAGAAGGTTGTCTTCATCGTGTATCATTGCCCAGCCCACAGTCAGGTTCAGGTACTCCAAGCCATCACTCTGGAGTTCTTGCCAGCCAATTCAACGGCAGTGATCTAGTCAATGGATCAAGGGGTTATTCAGAACATTAATGTTCATTACCGCAGACAATTGCTCCATCAAATGTTGCGTAGAGCAGGCAACGGAAAATGCTACAGCATAGATTTATTGGCAGCCATCCACATTTTGACTTGTGTCTGGGAGCAAGCGAAGGCAACAACAATACACAGATGCTTTCACCATGCTGGCGTTCAAGCGCAAGAAAGCAGTATCTGATAAATAAGAAAGCCCTGCTAATGCCGACATTGAGACAGTATTCAGTCAGGTCGTACCCTCTGCCCCTTTCACGCAGCAGGACTACAAATCAATTGGTGAAAACGTTCGTACCTGTTGTGAAGAGACTGTCGAGAAAATGATTGCCGAAGTGCACGATGAGGATCAACCCTTCAGCGATGAATGTGATGACAATACTGCCAGTGCAGTGGTGCCACCAGACCGATCAGCTAAAGAGGCTGTTGAACTTTTGCAGCTCTATTTTGAGCGTGAGTCTTGTCCAGAATTTCTAGCTAGTTTGTCAGGCATGGGTGCATACCTTGTGAAAAAACAACTCAAGTTTGCCAAACAAACCACTCTTCACTCCTTTTTTTTCTCCTACTCATCCTTATGAGTAAGGTTAGAATAAAGGTCTTGGTTCACTAAATAAGTGTACATTGCTTAAATGAAACCTCTGATGAATGAAACAGTTTTATGGATCCCCTTTGAGTTCCGTTTAAGAGGAGTCAACTGTACATTAGCAGGGGTGCCACAGCTGCGATTGCGTCAATTTGATACAATTCCCCATTTTTGCACCTAGCTGTGCCAAAACCATCAAATTTGCTGAAATTATGCCATGCTGTGCCAAAATGCCCAACCAGCCTCAAAATTTTCTCAGTTGCGCTAATTTTAGGAAAAAACAGAGGCCATATTGCCGATTTGCAGTTTGCATCGTCAGTCAATTCAAGTGTGCATTGATTGATATGTGGGGTTTAACGTCCCAAAACCACCATATGATTATGAGAGACGCCGTAGTGGAGGGCTCCGGGAATTTCGACCACCTGGGGTTCTTTAAGGGGGGAGGTCACCCTGGAGACCGAACTTTTTTATTTTTTAAGATATCTGGATGAAACTTTCAGGGGTTATTCACTACAATAAAACTAGCACAACTGCTAAGTTTCACGAAGCTGTGTTTCACAGTTCCAGAGTTATTGAGGTTTAACTGGGTGCTTCACATGGGTGCCTGAGGAAGAGTCGTGAGAAATCCCAGGACATAGTAGAAAGCTGAAATTCATTGTGGTCATTCCTTGATAGCTATCCCAGGGCGCTACAAAGCCGTTTTTTTTTCATTCCCCCCCCCCCCCCCCCAAATTTTCACGCAACTTTGAATTTGATGTAACCAGTAATGACCAGATTCATCAAAAATTAATTGTTTATTATAAATTAACAGCACCAAT